AAAAAAAAAAAAAAAAAAAAAAAAAAAAAAAAAAAAAAAAAAAAAAAAAAAAAAGATGCACCAAAAGACAATAGATAGTATGCAAATGCAGAGAAAAATCATGAACTCAGAAAGCAAGCAGAGGACGTTTCTGTCGCTAAACTAAGCATCAGAAATTATCAATAAAGCATAATTACTCAAAGTCGTACAAAAATTCTACTGACATTCATAATCTTGTTTATTCTTCAAAACAGGATCTAAATTATATCTTTTCTATAAAAAAATTTATAAAAAAAATTAGAAGACTGTAAATTACATTAAGTGCTGAAGAAGAAAGGAAGACAAGAGAGTCCCATTTAGAGTTCTCCGGTGGATTCCCAAGCGTCAAAACAGACGCTAATTTGCAAGCATTCCTACGTAAATCCTCCGAGATCACAGAAGATGCAAGCCAATAAGACATCAATAACAGTTGTCAAACAATCAGATACAGATCACAACCCCTTAAAATGGAAACTAGGTCGGGTAAAAATAGAATTTCCCCTCAAAACGAATCAACCCCAGAAAAGGAAATGTCAGCTACCTCAAGAACACACAACAAGTAGAGACTTATAAGCTCAAAGCAATCATCACCACTTTATCAAACAATCACGCCAAGCACCAAAAAAAGTTTCTCAAAAACAGCTCGAGATCCTAAAAACAGACCAAATCCCCATTCCCTTTCCACACACAAAATTTTCCACAAAAAAACACATGAAACTCTAATTACACGATCCAATTATAAGCTGCGACAATTCAAATGGGAAGATGAAAACAACAAAAAAAAAGATCATTAAATGAAATCACCTCGGCCTAGTTCGATAGAAATGCAGTGGAAAACCTTGGAAAAGATTTGAGCATACAAGAACAGCCTTCAAAATCGTAAGAACATGAAGAACTGAAATGAAATATATCTAAGAGACGAAACAGAAACGGAAGCGCACCAAAGAATATACCTGGAATCAAAAGCGCGCACACTGAGAGACGAAGAGACAGAGAGAGACAGAGAGAGAGTTTCCATTAGAAGACGAGGCTGAGTTTCTCAAGACTGGGAGGGGTAGTTTTGGTAATTCACATTACTTGACGAAAATACCCCTATACATTTGGGAAAATTACTCGTTTGAGTAAGATAATGGCTGGTGTCATCGGGAATGTCACGTGCCCACGATCTCTCCAAGTGTTTCTCCTCTTGACACGTGGACGAACTGTAGCCTGACACCTCATCGTACCAGTTCACAATTCACAAAGCTAAAAAAAAATAAATATTAATAATATTAAATTTTTTATAATTAATTTATATCTAATAAAATTAGACAGCGATTAATAACCAAGTCTAAATCTGTCGTTTATGTTAACATAACAAGAATTATAGTTGGATATTTTCGGTTTTCTCTAGTTGTCACTAAGCTTTAACCGATCATTTTCAAACACAGCTTTAATCTGCTAAAATCGACCGGTCTCAACTTACTGAACCCGTACGAAGTTTTGGACCTTAAAAGACTTAGTCGACCAACACGAGTTACTCGTGGGTGTTAGACGAACACGACTCTCCACAATTGTATGATATTGTTCACTTTGAGCTCTCATTCCAATGGAGATAGTATTCTTCGATTATAAACTCATGATCTTTCCCTAAATTAGCCGATATGGAACTTTCATCCAACACCTCCCTCGAACAAAGTATGGCTCCCCTTAATTGAAACTCGACTTCTTTTTCTTTTGGAGTCTTAGTCATATTTTACTATATCTTCGAGGCGGGAGGCTCGGCTCCTTTTTTCCTTTGGAGTCCTTTGTTCGACATTTGAGGTTCTATTGACATAGCTAAGTTTAGAGCATGACTCTAATACCATGTTCGCTCTCCACAATGGTATGATATTGTCCACTTTGAGCATAAGCTCTCGTGGTTTTGCTTTGAGCTTTCCAAAAAGGTCTCATTCCAAAAAAGTATCTTTTTAATTATAAATTCACCATTATTCTCTAAATTAGCGGACCTAATTTTCATAACAAAAATTATATCAATTAAAATAAGTTTATTCTATTATTTATAAAAAAAATCATATTTATTTTTATGAAAATAAAATCAGAAAAAATATAAGTTGCAATTACGATTTTACCCTAATAATGGATGTGATTACGGATTTACCCATTGATATTTTAATAGGAAGGGTGCATCTGATTCTTGACTTTTCACATTTATATACTTTTTTTTTTAATAATTTCCAATTATATTTTGGACCAATAGGAAGAGTCTGTGGATGCAAGTAATCCTTTTTTTTTCTTTATTTATTTATTCTTAAATTAAAAGTAAACTTAATTCTTTAAATATCACAACCATGAATATTCTAATCATAATATCTCATAAGAACTTTAAACTATATTAAAAAAATAAATAAATATAATAAAATTAAAGATGCCAGAGAATGAAAATTCTACCTTTTATTTATTTATTTATTTATTAGTAATTAAATATTATTTTGAAGTTTGTAATATTTAAATTTAAATTTCTTAAAATTATATTAGTAGAACATTCATTTATGAAATATTATTAAATTTATTATAATTTTTATAAAAGAATTATATAAAAAAAAATTATACAAATTTATGAATTTTTTCATTTGAGAAATTATTGGCATGAAATTTGATTTCCAAGAAAATAAATAAAAAGAATTTAAATATGAGAACCGAAATAAATGACACTGATACAGACATGTCAGTCTTGTAGGGGGCGTATATATTTTTATTTGGCTCCGGTCAATTCGAGGGTTTTGTCCCATGAACTCGAAACCGAACCGAGTCAGTTCAGGTTCAGAAAAATGAACCCAAACCAACCTGAAAAGCTAATCCAACCCAATCCAACCCAAACCGGGTTGTCGGGTTGTCAAGTTGAATGTACACCCGTATCGTCTAATCAATATTTATTTAGGATCGAGTGAGGAAAAAGTTCCTTTTTTACCTTTTTAATGTAACTAGTTATACAAAAAATTTTCGTATCATATTCTTCCCTTCATTCACATTATAATTATACTTTATAAATTTTTTTCAATGCTCGTAAACTCCGCGTCATTTTTAAAAGAGAATATTGACGTAATAAACAATAAATGAAAATAAATATAATAATTTGACTTTTAAATTTTAAATTTTATGTTTCCATAAATCATTAATTAAAATTATTTGTATATATAAATCCCTAAAATTATCATCAAATTTATAGATTAAATTTTTTTTTAAATGTTTGACTATTTAACCCATAGACTTTTCGACTCATTATTTATTTATTTTTTAAAATAACCAAAATATTATTCAACCTTTTTTAATAATAATGTAACTATTTTTATTAATTCAAATTAAAAAAATAACAAATGCATCATTTTATTTTTCGGCTCATTCCAACCACCAATTAGAAAAAATTAAATGAATTTTTTAAAAAAGGGGAAATAATTGCCACGTGGCAAACACTGATTTGTCAGCTGAGTTGGACAAAACAAAATGTAAACTTTCAAAATTATAATCCAAAAATTAAATTTATTTGTCTAAAAAAACTTTTAAACTTTGAAAAGTTTTAATAATATATTTTAATTTAAAAAATAAATAAAAAAAAAATTTAATAACTTTAAATAGTGTTTCAAAAATATCCTTCAACTTTAAATATATATATATATATATTATTGTTTGCATCGTGAATTTGGACAAAATTTTAATATTATAGATTATTTTTATACTTTTTAATATTATTATATTAATATTCTTGAAATTACTGATTTTTTTTTTTTATTTTTTTTTTATGAAGTTTGAAAATATTTTGTTTTTGAAAAAGTAGAAAAGTATTTTAAAAGTGAAAATGATATTGTTTAAATCTTTGGAAAATTTATAAATATTTTTAAAAATAAAGTTTAAAGTTTAAAGTAATTTTCATTAATTTAGTAAAAAAAAACACATGAATTGAAAAAAAGTTTGACCAACTTTTTGGTGATTGGATAAGTTAGCATGAAATAAGATAAAAATATATTTATTAAAAAAATATTTAATTTAATTTAAAATTAATAATTAAGGATAAAGATTAATCGATTAATTAGGACCATATGGTAGTTGAATAGGGGACGTAAGAATGAAATAAAAGCCAAATGACAGGTAGATTCCACATGCACATCACGTGTTCTTTTTTCCTCAATTATTTTTTTGGTTTAAATCATAATATTAATAGTCAAATATCTAATACGTCCTAATTTTTTTTTAATTTTATTTAATAAAAATTTCAATTTTAAAAATATCTAAAAATAATTACTTTTAATTTTAATTTTATGCCCAAATTGAATTAGTTTATTAGATATAAATTTAAATTTGATATTTAATGAAGCGAAATTGTGTTTAATATATCAAAAATTAAACTTATAATTAATTGTTTTTAATTATTTTATTTTGATTCTTAAGTTTTCAAAAATAATTATTTAAAAAAAAAAGAGTTAAATTACAAGTTTAATTATTGAATTTTTTATTTCTATTTAATAGATCTTTAAATTTTAAAAAGTATCTAGGTATTTTAAATTTCAAAAGGTCGAATAGGTTTCTAGACTTTCAATATCGTATTAAAAGGTCGAATAGATTGAATATTGCGTCTAATAAGGCATTTGTGATACCCGAGTAGAGGAGGGGTACATGAATGAAGCGTGACCACTTTCAAATGAGAGTGATTTGAGGAGAGAATGACTAATAAAGGCATTTGTGATACCCGAATAGAGGAGGTGTCGCACGGGATGCAGGGTAATGTTGGGGTCATCAGGTGTCAAATCTTGATTTCGACCTAATCTGAATCTTGGGCTTGGGTCATTCTAAATGGTATCATAGCATTAGCTCTCTTAGTAAGATGTGGTTAAGGAACGAACCAATACAAAAGTTGGTGAGCATGTGACTTGTGATAATTTAGGTCGAGTATATGAAGAATGTGAGGATATTATAAGAAGTACTAATATTAATTAGGATTGAAATGAACTAATATGTTCGATGAAGAACATGTTGACTTGATGTATACTCGATTTTTATGATTATGAAGAACTGAACTCAAAATTGAATGAAACTGAATGTGCATGCCTAGGTATTCACGATTAGATTGTCATATTATGTACCTATTTATGATATGTTTCGTGCATGATATGTTTATTTTGTTATATGGAGACGATTAGGTGTTTGCAAACTAATCTCTAATTGTGAACACGACTTGACTGTCGTGGGTCTATATAATACATTATGTAATAGCTCAAGCTCACCACTAGCAGAAATTGTCTTTTTTGAGCTTTCTCCTTCGGGCTTCCCCTCAAAATTTTTAAAATGCGTAGGCTAGGGAGAGATTTCCATACCCTTGTAAAGATAAAGAAAGCTTCATTTCCCTCTCCAACAGATATGGGATCTCACAATCCACCTCCATTTGGGGCCTCGTATCACGGTCCTACTTTTTCAACCACGCGGTGTCGTGATCTTAACACACTCACGACCATCCTTAAGGGAAATTAAGCCCCATATATATTTTTTACTCCGACTTTGTGGCTTCATCGGACCTTAGGCGAGGTTTGTCTTCGCCAATCGAATATCGTTGGTGTGAAATCCAAGCTTGTTCGACTACACACGTCACCTGCGCGTGCATGTTCAATCGTTCTGCGATACAACCGACTTGCCTCTACACTAGCCAAGTCATTCTGCTTGACCTTGCCTCTGCTCAGGGCCAAGGCCTCTCAATGCAACGTCGCGTCTCATCTTGTCATCTCGATCCCCATCGACATGGCTCACATGTCTTGACATCATCTCGAGTCTCGAGGTATCGTCGACCATCACAACTCGATCGGTCATTCCATCGAGAATGGGCCCACTTGTCGCTCATCTCATCGAGACATCCCGAACATCCATTCACACGAGTTCTATTGAGACATTGGCCCTTCCGTTCCCATGCCATGTCATTTACAGATACTGTACCGGATAGCGAGTGTATGTAGCAACCTCCGACACGCAAGCTGGAGCGCAATATTGGAACACCTATGCCGCTCGGTACTGTCCTT